ATCTACATATATCTATACTCACACACACACACACACACACATATTATATAATAGTTTATATACATAAAATGCATTCATGTAACAATTATCATTCTTGTTTAGATCTTTTTCTTCCCAAATATATATATATATATATTTGGGAAGATATATATATATTTAGATATATAATATATATAATATTTAGATTATGAAATGGGATGTTTGTTTTGGGGCGGGGGGGGATATATAGCCTACTATATGTACGTACAGATCACTAAGTTTTACACGTCATCAATTCACTTTAAAAACAAAATCATTTGGGATTTAGGAACTTTTTTTAAATTACTTGAATGATAATGTTTTGCGATAGGCCGATAATGGGACGTTTCTGAGCAGTAATCCGCTGTAAAGACTATAATCTCGTTTACACTGCAGCGGCTCAAGCTTTGATTGATTGAAGAGACGTCTTTTCCTAATTGCCTTCACGTGAAGCAATCACGGTTTACCGATATAAATGTATCGGCGCGGGGCTCGCCGCCTCTCTAAGTAATGAGAAAGAGACGCGAAGAAATGTCCGCCGCGCTGAACGCGTTCCTGCGCTGCGTCGCGTTCCTGCTGCCGCCCTCTTGGTTTCAGTTTTGCTGGTGGGTTGGGGAGGCGCCGTGGCCCAATCCCAGAGCTCGATTCAAACACACAAAGTCTCTTACATACGAGGAAGTAGCTGCTCAAGACGAGCCTTCCTCCTCTGATCGCGCCGCGCCGTCGCCGTCTCCGTGGCGCAGGATCCTGACGCTCGCGGAGCGCGTCCTCTCGGCTCTCTGTCATCTTCACACGCGTCTGGGGAGTTTGTGTTCGCCGCGCCGCGTCGCCGCCGGTTCTCCATCGAGCGCAGCCGCGGAAGAGGAGGCGTTCACGGCGGAGATCATGAGCACCGAGGAGCCGCGGGAGATCAGCGCTCCGGTGACCATCACCGTGGCCATCCAAGCGGCGGAGGACGAGGAGCCTTCCTCCAACACCATCGAGCTCCAGACGGGCAGCGGCAGCGAAGACGAGCTCGCCAGACACGATAAATCCAGGTAGAGGACTCCAATTCCAATCGATCTCCTTAGAATCGAGCCATTGGTTTCTCCATCCGTCATACACACACGCACACACACACACACACACACACCAGCCGCGCTTCCAGGCTATAAATAGACGAGCTCACAATGCTTGACCCCATGAAAGTGCATGTTTGTAATTGTGATTCAGAGCGTGTGTGTGTGTGTGTGTGTGTGTGTGTGTGTGTGTGTGTGTGAGAGATAGCAATAGCCAAAAATACATTGTATGAGTCAAAATTATAGATTTTTCTTTTATGCCAAAAATCATTAGGATATTAAGTAAAGATCATGTTCCCTGAAGATATTTTGTAAGTTTCCTACCGTAAATATATCAAAACTTAATTTGATTAGTAATATGCATTGCTAAGAACTTCATTTGGACAACTTATTAATATTTAGATTTTTTTGCACCCTCAGATTCCAGATTTTCAAATATTTGTATCTTGGTCAAATATTGTGTTATCCTAACACACACCTAATACATCAATGGAAAGCTTATTTAATATTTATTCATCTTAGAAATCTCAATTGACTCTTATGACTGGTTTTGTGCTCCAGGATCATGTATGATGTAATCACGTCAAATGTCTCATAATAGCTATGCACATTGTACAATATTCACTGGAAATAAATTTGCGTACAATTTCAGGGTGGCCAAATATTGATCTGCGTGTGTGTCTGGATCAGGGGTTTTTGATCTTTTAGATGCAGTGGGCTTACAAAATCCTCTTGAGGATATCCATGTGTTTTCATGTATAAGACCCAATTTATACTCCTTTATATTCTAAACGGATGTGAAAAATGTTATTTGGAAAATATTTAGTATCTATTGTTACACTAAGTTTAGTCACTATGGTACTGTATTGTTAAATTTATTTAAATCCAATTTGTGTGTTATTGCGTACTTTAATTTTAATAAATATAATTTTTTTATAATTTAACTGTACATTTTTACACTGTTTT